AATCAGTCAGAACAGGTCTAGAAACAAATTTTAATTAGCGAAAAGAAAAAAAGGTTAACAAAGCAAATGTGTTTAATCGCTGCGTCAAAATTAAATTTAGTGGAAGATCATTTAACTGTATAGACGACCCAGGTATGTTACATTCCACTGAATACAGCTGTTATCATTATTCTTGGAACACCTTATTATAAATTAACCGAATGATTATTCTGCCAATTCGATAAATTATTGGTTTCGGCATGATCAATAAAGGTTAACAAAGCAAATGTGTTTAATCGTTGCGTCAGAATTAAGATTATTTAACTGTATAGACACCCGGGTATGTTACATTCCACTGATTACAGCTGTTATTATTATTCTTGGGACGCCTTATTATAAATTAACCAAATGATTATTCTGCCGATTCGATAAATTATTGGTTTTGGCATGATCAATGTAAATGTTTATTATTTATGAAGATAGTCTAAAGCTTGGTGTTAACCAATTTGTAAATTAAATTCATATGAAACTACAACGTACATACTTATCTTGCTTTAAAACAATAAACATTACATTGATCAAATCAGTGGAATAATCATTTGGTTAATTCTTCACAAGGTGTTCTAGGAATAATAATAACATACCTGGGAGATATATTGCTTGGCAGGAGGGTATAGTAATGGGTAGAGTTTTTGTTAAATCTAAATTACTAATCAAAAACCCTCGGGTCTCTTACATTCTACCAAATTCTTGATCCCGGTTTAGACTCAGATATAATGGGGGTCTACGGTATTTATCATTTCAATTACGAATTGTTTGGTTAATTCATTATTCAAATTTTTCGGATGTAATCATTAAATAGTAAAATAAAGGTCATTAAGGTTTAAATTTGAGGGATATTTGCACCATTTTTAGTGAACGCAATCGATCTAATATGTAACAAATAAGCCGCATTTGTTCATATGTAAATAAGTAAATAAGTATTTAAGCTGCTTTAAACCAGAATTTTATCTGTGGATTGCCTTTCACTGTGAATTTATTAAATCAAAAATTTACAATAAAAAAAAAAACGTAAAATTGCACATTATGCCACTTAAAAAAGATAAAACTACTCGAAATAATGCTATTGAGAAAGCCCTTAAGGCTATAAAGAACTCCTCAAATAATCCTACAGCTTCAAGTGTGAGGAGTATCGCATGAGAATTTGATATTCCAGAATCAACCCTTAGACATGTCATTCGAAACAATGGTCCTCTCAAACGTCCAGGTCCTAATAAAGTTTTAACCGACCACGAAGAAGAGCAACTGGTTGGTTATTGCTTGAACATGCAGAGACTTGGTTTCAGATTGTCAAGGTCTGGTGTGAATCATTGTGTGATGGAAATTGTTGGTAGAGATGGGCACCCACATCCTTTTAACGAAAATGGACCAGGCCAAGCATGTTGGAAATAGTTTTTAGAAGATCACTCCGAACTTTCATTTCACGTCCCGCAGGCTCTAAATGAAGCACGTGCCCAAAAAGCAAATCCTATTATAATCAATGACCATTTCAACAAACTTCAAAAAATTCTTACTGAATATTCGCTCACCCTCGATCGTATCTGGAATATGGATGAGACAGGTTCTATTTCCTTTTTTTTTCCTTTTTTATTTTTTTTTCCTTTTTTTTTTTCCTTTTTTTTTTTTTTGAATTCGGGTCTTAAACCTGGGCAAGATTATATCTAATAATTATATACGAGATAGGTTTTATTATTGAGCCTAAACTTCAAAAAGTCATTGCAAAGAAAGGTG